CCACCCTCACCTAGGGTGTGGTTACTTGGTGTTTTGGACATTAAGATGGGCCTTGCAGGTAGATCTTCTACACCCTGACAGGAGGTCAGAGAATTCAAGCATACTTCTGCTCCTTCTTTTGAATTAGGAGGTTTGACCTATGGAGTGGCTGCCTACAGGATACTTGGTCTAGAGGTGGGCTCACTGCCTAAACAGAATGACTTCCTCTTGATGCCTTGATTAATGGCTTGATGTCTCAAAGTATTGAAGCAAATAACTGTTCGAGTTGTCCCTTGCACCTTGTTAAAGCATCTTTTGCCTTCTCCCCTCTGTTGTATTGGGGTATAAAAGTGTATGGAAAATCAACCACAGGCAATTTCAGTAGTCACTGGAACTCACTCTCGATACTATACTGTGCTTCTGTTTTATTATTTTTACTTGTGCTCTTCGTTCTCTTTACTTAAGTTTCTAATCCCCATGCCCCTACTCTGGTAACTGGTATCCTTGTCAAAGCTGATCCCTGGCACAGGACATGATACAGCCATTGCAAACATGAGCTCATTGGAGCTGCAGGTGTCTGCACTGGGCCCACACAAAATTGGGCTTTTTAAGAGTCAATCATGGATCAAAGAGTTCTCGGAGCCCTACCTCCTCCCTACTGAACTACTGGGTAATGAAGGGTTCTGAGAGAGGCGACGTCATCATTTTTCCATTTTATACCCACTGCAGAGCCCACCAGGCTCCAATGGATAGCTCCAAAACCACAATCACACAGATAACCCTGGTTAAATCAGTAAGTCACAAAGACAAAACAAATAAGAATGGGGAAAGCAATTTGTAAGGAGGAAGGGTGGGGATAGACAAAGGTTAGCATGAGAAAAAAAAGGGTAGAGATTGAGAATTCTCAGAATGCCTTATATACATGCATGAGGTTGCCCAATGGTAAATGTAATAAACCAGTAACAATACAGTGTAAACAAGCTAGAAAAACTAGGTAAATAAAACAATCAACTCCTGAGTCATACACACACTTTTTAATTCTAGCAGTCAGGAAGTTGAGGCAGGAAGATCACAATTTCAAGGCTCCTCCAGAGTATATAGTAAGTTCTAGAACAATCTGGACTACTGGAGCAGGACCCGGACTTGCACACAACAAGCAAGCCCTGCTCTAAGTCCTTATCCATTCTTAGCCAGTGTGATGGTTTGAGAGAAAATGTCCCCCCAAAGGGAGGGGCACTGTTAGGAAATGTGGTTTTGTTGGAGCAGGCATGGCCTCGTTAGAGGAAGTCTGTCAGTGTGGGAGTGGGCTTTGAGGTCTCCTTTGCTCACGCTTCACTCAGTGTGACGCTCAGACCATTTTCTTCTGCCTGCTTGTCAAGATGTATGAACTCTCAGCTCCTTCTTCAGCACTTCCTTCTCCAGCACCATGTCTGCCTGCACGCCCTTGTCCCACCATGATGATAATGGACTGAACCTCTAAAACTGGAAGCTGCCCAATTAAATGTTTTCCTCTGTAAGCATGTGGCCATGGTGTTCTTCACAATACTAGAAACCCTAGCTAAGACAGCCATCTCTCTTGATTTTGGCACGCTGGTCTTCACCCGTGCATTTGATCTCCATCCTCACATGTTTTTCTCTGAGCTTGTTAGTTACTTGTCCTGCTTCCAACTGCTGGTTTTCTCAGATTTCATCTTCTACGTTGGAGCTTGGCAGTTGATCTACAGATGATACTTCCCACTGTTTTCACAGTAGTGTTCTTCCTTAATTAGTTTAACCAAATGGGCAGAGTTTCCGCGATCCAGGTACAAGTTGTCACATAGAGTGATAGAAATTAGTCAAGATGGTACAATACCATCCAAATGATTTCTCTTCTTCTGTCTTTGTATAAACTTTTCACCCTAATCGATGGAACAGCCTATGTGGATTCCTTTTAAATTTTTCTATGCATTTATGTAAGCATATATAAATATATATACACACATATATACTATTTTTAAGCAAGAGGATTCTATTGTATCTATTTCTCTGCATATTTTTCTTCCCCTTTGGAGGGGAACACATGCACAAACCTGTACATATAGACCCACATACAAATATATGGAATTCTTGTTAGTCAGCTGGTATAGCCTTCCAGTAATAGTTACATTCTTATCTATGGCATAGTTAGAGTTCATTCATTATCGTAATAGTTAGCTGTCATTCTAAATGTTGGTTTTATGCTACTAAAAACAAAGATGGAATAAATATTCTTGTTTCTATTTCCTTCTCTAATAAATAGATCCTACAGAGTAGAATGTCTGGGTCAAGATGAATGGTTATTTTTTTATGGATTTGCCAAGTTCACACCAGAAAATCAGAGGGCTTAGCCATATTCCATCAAAGTGCGAGAACACTCGGCCAACATGCCCCAAATAACCCATACTGGCTTTGAAAAATTCATAATTCTGGTAGGTCCTTTATGATATTTGATTAACATTTTAATTTAATGTTGCATTAAATTGCATTATCTTGACTACTGCTAAAGTACCTTTTTTGGCCTATTTGTCATTGCAGTTCCTTGTTTGAATTTGTTAGCTTTTTATTCTTAGTAACAAAATAGTCTATGCATTAAAACATTAACTATTTATCTGATACTAGCATTGCTAAAGTAAATTGGCAGGAAGTCTTTTCACTTCTCTGTAATTTCTTAATTAAAAAGAATTGAAACTGTCAAACTTACAGAAAAGTTGAAGTTACAATATGAAGAATTTTGATATTTCTAAACTAATTGAAAGTAATTTGCTAACATGATCTGTCACTGATGCACATTCATTTATATAGCCATAGAATTCCCATCAAAATTGGGAGATGAGGGGAAAAGAAAAGCTCAAGGCCGGGCAGGGGGTGGCACATACCTCTAATCTCAGCACTTGGGAGGGAGAAGCAGGCAGATCTCTGTAAGTTTGAGGCCAGCCTGGTCTACAGAGCTAGTTCCAGGACAGCCAGGGCTGTTACACAGAGAAACCCTGTCTCGAGAAACCAAACAACATAAATTGGGATATGAGGGATGGACAGATGGCTCAGTGGTTAAGTGAGTTTACTGTTACCACGAAGGACCTGGGTTTGGTTCCCAGCACCCACATGTCACTCTCAGCTGCTTGTAACTCCAGTTCTGGGGGACCCTATGCCCTCTTCTGACCTCCAATAACACCTACACACAAGTGGAACAGATAAACTCATGCCGGCACACCAGCATTCAGGTAAATTTTTAAAATTTGGAATATTAGTATTCCCTTATTGACACAAGTAGATTTTGCTAATAATAATTTCCCTCTGTAGCTGTTTTTTTCTCTTTGTTCTTTGGGGGCCCACGACCCAGCCCCCAAATAAATGCTCAGAAGCTTATTCTTTCTTACACATGCCTGGTCTTAGCTTAGCTTATTTCTAGTCAACTTTTCTTAACTTGAATTATCCCATCTACCTTTTGCTCCTGGACTTTTATCTTTCTCTATTCTATATGCCTTTCTTTACCTCTTACTCTGTGGCTTGCTGTGTAGCTAGGTGACTGGCCCCCAATGTCTTCTCTCCTACTCTTGTTCCTTGATCTTCTCTTCCCATTTCTCTTCCTATTTACTCTCTCTCTGCCTTCCAGCCCCACGTATCCTTTCTCTTTCCTTGCTATTGGCCCGTTCAGTTCTTTATTAGACAATCAGGTGTTTCAGGCAGGCACAGTAACACAGCTTCACAGAGTGAAACAAACACAGTGTAAGAGAATGCAACATATCTTTGCATCATTAAACAAATGCTCCACAGCACAAACAAATGTAACACATCTTCACCTAATATTCCATAACACCCATCAATATACTTCAGAGCAAAGTCCCAGTCCATGAGGAGTCACTGAATTGCCTGTAGATGTCACATGCCTTCATCTGGGCAGTTAAGTCTCATTCTTGATTGTTTTTAAAGTGTCTAGACCAAGTAATTTTGTATAATCTGTGTTGAAAATATTATTTATTATTTCCGCATTTTTGAACAAAGCCAACAAGAGAGAGCCCTCTTCTGGGACAGGGAAGCGTGGACAAGGGACAACCACAGCCCACTCTATGTTTCTCTTGCCTGCCCTGTGGCCCTGCGCCTTCTCCATCACATTATCAGACTCTGGTTCTTTCTTTGTGCGGTTTTTGAGCCTTCAGAAACTTGTTGGGTCTTCACCTGTGTGCGGGCATTCTTACATGTCAGCCGACCTGCCCTTCCTGCTTTCCTCCTCACCTCCTATTTGTTAATTTAGATCTTTATTTTCTCTTCCAATATTTTGCTTGTTTAATTTTGGTGGTGTTATAACTCTTTAAATTGAATTTTATTTTTCTCTATATTCTTTTAAAAAATAAAACATTTAAGGCTCTGAGTTCCCAATAGGGATAATTTAAGGCTATGAATTTCCAATAAGGATAAAGCATCGCGTATGTTTTGTATGGAGTTTCCTCCATTATTGCTTTCTGTGAGGTTGGTAATTTTAGGTTCATTTACATTTTAGTAAAAGACTGCTTTGTACCATTCCTTGTAATTTCCAAGTAATTAAATGGCTTTGAATGGAGTCTCTTTTTACTGTTTGTTTCTCCCATCCCCCTTCTTCTATCATAAGCTATGATCAGGAAATATGCCCTAGAAAATTTCCACTTTTATAAATTGTCCTAGAATGTCCTTTGAAAACACAGACTGGATTAATTTTTTGTATGTGTTCTACTAAAAAGCAAAAGAAATCTAGAACTTGGGGCAAATGTAATCACAGCACCAGGAAGACTAAAAAGCAGGCAGTTTCTTCAAGTTCAAGGCTAGCCTGGGCTACATAGACCTGTCTCAGGGAAGGAAAGGGGGGCAGTATAAGATGGACTATTCCATGTATGTTTTAGATCAAATTTGTAAATTTCTTGTGTATTTCTTCTCTATTTCTATCTATACATTTTATCTGTTGGGTTTTCTAAGTGTAAGCAATGTGTACATCCTATTATAACTGTATTTTTACTTCATCCTCCTCCTAGATTCTGCTTTGTACAGTTACGTCCTTCTGAAAACGATGCACACGACCAGTGTCTGTTGTACCCACATTTCCCCCTTCTCCTTCTGACATAATAGTTTTCACCCCGTTTTGGGAGCTCACCAAGTCTAGCTGGACTGGGACTGAAAAAGCATGGGATAAAACCGGACTCTCTGAATATGGCGGACAATGAGGGCTGCTGAGAAGCCAAAAACAATGGCACTGGGTTTTGATCCTACTTCATGTTCTGGCTTTGTGGGAGCCTAGCCAGTTTGGATGCTCACCTTCCTAGACCTGGATGGAGGGGGGAGGACTTTGGACTTTCCACAGGGCAGGGAACCCTGACTGCTCTTTGTACTGGAGAGGGAGGGGGAGAGGAGTGGGAGGAGGGGGAGAGGAGTGGGAGGAGGGGGAGAGGAGTGGGGGTGAGGAGTGGGGGGAGGGGGAGAGGAGGGGGAGGGAAATGGGAGGCTGGGGGAAGGCAGAAATTTTTTTTCAAAGAGAAAGAACCATAAAACTGCGTTTTACTGATACAGAAATAGTAATGGTACATTTATTTCCATAACAGCACTTCAATCGTCTCTAACAAAATTAAGGCTACATTGGAGCATTCGGACAGAAAGGGACTGTTTTATACAATGTTATTCATGTTTTCACAAACAAAACAATATTCTTCAGGCAAAAAATTTTTAACAAGATACCAGTAAAGGAAATGGAATACAAAATGTGTTCCTTTGGGTCAGCCTGATAATAGCCACACACCCCCTAGGGAGTATCAGGGGATTGTTTTTAATGAATACTTTGAGTATGAGGGCGACTCTCCAGAGTTAACATCCCACAATACAAGGCTATTTCATAATATAAAACCAAAGACAGTTGCATCTCCTGCATAATCCCTTTAGAATGAATAATTAGTGAACATAAGCAGTATTTAAAAGCACAAGAGAACTGTGCAGAGGCCTACGGTGCCTGGAAGGACAATCCCTACATCAAAGCCCTTCTCCCTCAAATCCGTTGGGAAGAAAATGAGAACTCAAATCGGATGATACTAAACTGTCAGCACTCCCAGGAGAGTGGCCAGGACCCTGCGGTACTCTTGAGGATAAAGTAATGCCATTTAAGGCCACCCACCAGCAGACTCAGTAAAACCATATTATTTCTTCCTCAAGGCACTCAAAAAAGAAAAACGATTTAATATCCTTGGTCCATAAGAAGAAATATTTACTTACATCCTCAATGGACTAAAAGATTTTAGACGTAACAATTAAAATTGTATCTTTCCAAAAATATTATATTATCAATGCAATAAACTCAATAAACTTAAAAAAACAAACTTAACTTAATTTAAACTAAACTTCATTAAAACTTTTAAAAAACCAACAAAACATACTTCCTAGAGTGCAAAATGCTTATTAAATACTTCAAGAACACAAAAATAATTTGTTTAAAAACACAGGAATCCTTTGCTAAAGGGCCATCAACAAAAAAGACACCCATTGCCCATAATGGGTGCCAGCTGGAAGACACATGGTGTTAAGCTTTGTGCTTGGCCTCTGCCCCTTTCAGATGACATGTTATTTGTACAAGCTCATGGTTGGACTCTGGTACATGCACATGTACGCATCACAAAGAAGTCTGCGTGCACAGCCTCGAATCCTTCTGGAATCCAAGGAGTGCAGCTCCTCCAGAGACATCTTCAAGTACTCTCCCACTTCAGGGCAGGGTGTCACTTGTGGAATGTTGAAGCCATTCTGACCCCCTAGGGAGAGAGAGACAGCTCTCATTAGGGCAGCAAACTTCTAAGTCCTCCTGGCAGCCTGTCCAACCAGAACAATTTTACTATCCTAGAATTTAGTGAAGACTGACTCCCAGAATCAAAAACAAAACAAAAGAAAACAAACAACAAAACTTTGTTTGACTTTCAGTTTCTAGAATTACGGTCTCCTTTTATTGGCTTCTGAGAGGGCTCAAGCAGAGAAAAGTGAAAAAAAAAAAAAAACCTGGTAAAAGGACATGCACTTAGGAAAAGCTGCAGTCCCGATTTGCAGGCTGCTGCTCTAGGCCCCTCAGACTTTTCTGTCCTTCCCAGACACTAACAGTCTGACACTTTTCCACAAGAAGCCAATTGTGAGCGCTACTGTTTCCCAGGCCAGCTGGACTGTGACCGAAAAAGCATGGGATAAAACCGGACTCTCTGAACATGGCGAACAATGAGGGCTGATGAGACGCCAAGGACAATGGCACGGGGCTTTGATCCTACTTAATGTGCTGGCTTTGTGGAAGCCTAGCCAGTTTGGATGTTCACCTTCCTAGATATGGACGGAGGGGGGAGGACCTAGGACTTACCACAGGGCAGGGAACCTGGACTGCTCTGTGGACTGGAGAGGGAGGGGGAGAGGAGTGGGGGGAGGGGTAGAAGGGTGGGAGGAGGGGGAGAAGGGTGGGAGGAGGGGGAGGGAAATGGGAGGCTGGGAGGAGGTGGAAACTTGTTTTTTGTTTATGTTTTTTTTTCTTCTTTTCTTAATAAAAAAAATTATTTAAAAAAAAAAAAAGAACATACTTGCATACCTCTAGCACGGCTGTTTTAGATACTAATCATCAGAACGCGCACATGCTCTGATGATCAGATTTGCTCTCCCAGATGCGTTCCCAAAAGTTATGCTGCTAATGCTGAGTGAAGCACACACAGGGGTGGGCTGTGCCATCAGGCATCAGAGCTATGCAGAAATGAAGAACTGTTGGTCTACAGCTTGGGCCTCTGGTCAAGAAGCCGTCACTTGGTGCCTCTGGTTATTAAAGTGTCACACCTGAAGACCTGGGGAACTAGGGCTTGGAAGAAGAGCTGTAGTGTAAATGGGGTATGGACAGGTACTGTGACAAGTACCTTACTACCAAGACCCCTGTCACTCAAGTGTGTACTAAGTAATGACTAAGCTTCCTAAAAACATCTCAATGAGAAAAGGTTTCTTCCTGAAATAAAACGCATGAGATCAGGAAGACTGAGGTAAATTCAAACCATGCAACCTTCACCACCTTTAATGTTAGATTGGACAATAGAAAAACAGGCATGATTTCCATGACCAAAGGATTCCCACAGAGTTTGGCATTTCTGTCCTCAATAAATGGCTACTCTACTGTATATAAAAATGCAAGGAAGAAGATGGTAAAATCAGCTCTAAATAAATTTTAGGATCTTTGTTTTCTTTTGAGGTTGGACAAATTGAAACAGGTTCTCACTATGCAATACAAACTGACCTCTGATTCACAATCCTCTACTTCCCAAGTCTGGGATTATGGCTAGGATTCTTTAACAAATCCACGTAAGGACCAAGATGGCACAACATTATTGCTCCTTAGTTTGAGGAGCAGAATTAGTAATACCCTTTGAAGATTGAAGTCCGTCCCACTGTGGTATCCTTTCAAGAATCTGCTCACAAAATACCCTATTACCACAAACACGTGCTCTCACTAGGAAGCATCTCCCTCCAAAAGACGAGTTTTAAATACCATCTCGATCAGCCATGCTGTCAAAGAAGAGCCAGGCTGAATCATCCTTCCCATACTTCACAAAAGCAACATAGTGGCTCGTTTCTATGCAGAGAACAGCAAATAACTCCATCTTCTGGCAGGGGATGCAGCCGTGTCTCCAGTCCCAGTCAGGCAAGTCTTTGGGAAGTGATACTGGGTGATAGGTATGATTCATTCTCTTAGGATGGCGGTGAACCTAAAATGGACCATGAAGAAAATACCACAAGTGAGCTAAATGCCATGTTTCAAGGGCAGACTCTAATCACTTTCATTGACCAGCCCAGCCAAGTTCTACACACACACACACACACACCGGCAGAAGAGACATGAGCAATAACATTTACTGTGAATGTTTAAAATGCCCTTTGACTCTGACTGGTGCAGTGAGTGTGGATTACCTGAGTGCAGCAGGTCTTACAGAACTGCTTGATCTTCCCTGCTGTGATGTCGGGGTCTTCATAGCAATCTCTACACTCAAACATAGCAAGTCCTAAACAGATGCGACACTCCCTGGGAGCTAAGCAAAGAGGGAAGGAAGAAGCCTTTTTAAAAACGACATTCTGTCCTTAAAAATAAAAGCTATACTTTGAAAACAAGAATGCTTGGGGGTTGGGGAGAAGAAAGGCCTAGTCCTCTCTGACCCTCTTAAAATTTCATTTGGATTTTTTTTGTATCTGAAGTATTTTTAAGGACTTTTTTTTTCCATATAACCATTTTTGTTAACCTATTCTAGAATTGTTCTTCTGGTCATGAAATGTTCAAAGATATAAAATAAGTATTGAAGACTAATAGCACATATGATCTTAAGTCAGTAAGTAAAAATCACTGCCATTATGAACGTTCTGTAACACTTTTACGTCTGAATATTTATATAAGTATGTGCACCCAGGTACACGTGTATCTCAAGCTTCTCTCATCTAGCCTCTCGATGCTTTCCCTTCCACTATAACTACCACACACTGTTTTCACATAGTTCTATTGTTTAGACATATGATCCAGTTAACCACTTCCCTCTTATTAACATTTCTTGTCTCTAATTTCTTGTCAGATAGTAAGTAAATTTGCATTTAAATGATTTATTTTTACCTCTTTTTTTTTTAGAATAAATTCTAGCAGTCAAATTATTGAGTTAGTATGTCTAAGCTCTTCAAATACTGAATTACCTGTCAGAAGTACTATATCCATAACTAATGAAAAGTCCAGGCCAACTATTTCTAAAACAAAACAAAACAAAACTCAAAGAAAGGACTATATACTTACTGTCTTCAAGCAAATCCGTTATATTTAATTCTAGAGAAGGGAAAATTTTTTCGAACATTTTGAAGTCTTTTCCAAACCGAGGCATCTGAATAATCAAGCATGATGGTGCCTAAAAAAAAGACACATAGTTTTAGAAACCAAAGTCCTAAGGAGCTGGGGACTTAGCTCAATATAGCGCTTACTTAGCATGTCCAAAGCCTTGAGTCCTAACCCCTGTACTAACGAGTTTCCCTATGAAACCCAGTAGTGGTTTCAGCAGGGCTGTTGGCCCATGAAGCAGAGCCCACTTGTGAATGTGCAGTGTGGATGCAGAGCAGCAATAAGCTACAGATTTTCCAGACTTCCCCGGAGACGAACATGATAAAACAGACCACGGCATGCACTGCAGAGATCACACATTCTGACAGTCAAAGAGACGTTTCTATTGCATTCATTAGCAAACCCATACACAAGAATTTATTGGTATTTTATCTCTTAGCAGAGGGAGAAAAAATAACATTACCTTTGACATGTTTAGATACTATGCATGGGAAAAATGACAACTGAAAACATAAACATGTATGCACACATATCTTTGCATTAAGCTACTTTAACTTAAAAATTAGCTTTTGTTCCCTTTGCAACCTAAATCCAAAACATTCCATCTTAAGCTAAGCGGCTATCTTTAAAAAGAACAAAGTTAGAATACCTTTTTGTTTTTAAAAAAAAGTGTCTTCTTAACTCTTTCTTCAAACTATTCTTGGTTAAAGCACAGTGACAGCTAGGTGTGGTTCAGTGGGGCAGCACTTGGGGTAGTGTGTACAAAAGGCCTGAGTTTAATATCTAGCATTGATAAGAAACAAAATAAAGTAGCAGTACAAGTCCAGTTAGAATCACTAACCTCTGCAAATTTCAGGTTGGTGTTGATAAAAGACCATTCTAGTAACTGTTGAATTGTAGGAACTCCAACTTTCTCATTTTTTTCCACAAAGATCTGATAGAAGTCGCAGTCTTGGACTTTCTGACCTGCTGATCTGGGAGCACACAGGAAGAATTGCATATAAGCCACTTACCAAATGCCTGAATCGAGTATGAAGCGTCTGACAGACCTGAGGACACAGCATCATAATGCTCGTGTCCAGCTTTGGATTGTCCACACACCAGGTGAAAGACAATGATTCGGATGAGATAGTTAAATGTGCTTATGCAGAAGACCTCATAAATTAGTTCTTCTGCCTTCTTTATAAATTATTCGAAAGTTCTCTTGCCATCACAAGAAAAATGTAGAATAATATTCCAGACAAGAAACACTATATGAACAATAATCAGTTCTTCTCCCTCCAAATCTAGAAAGTAGCAGCTACTTTAAAGAAATTAATTTTTATTTTATGTACACTGGTGTTTTACCACGGATGTCAGGTCACCAGGAACTGAAGTTACAGACAGTTGTGAGCACTGCTTTTACTGACTAGAACAAATGCTACAATGCCTCAGTGACAGACTCTTAGACCTTCTAAATCAAACTTCTTTACTTCCTAAAATAAAAGCCCTGGGAGGGAGGAGGGAGAGAGGAGAGGGAGGGAGAGAGGGAGAGAGGGAGGGAGGGAGGGAGGGAGAGAGGGAGGGAGGGAGGGATACTTTCCTAGCAAGTCAAAGCAGGGCAAGGTGTGACTCCCAGGAACCCTAACAACTATCCTCTAGGCTTTCAGCTACCAGCAGCTCTTTAGATGCTCACCCACCAACTTGACAAACACCAGGTAAATGGTCACAGTGAAACATGAGGGTCCAACATCTCCCTTCCCTTACCAGCTTACTAGTAACCATTAAAACTAACTCTACTGAGAAAATTGTTTTTCATCTTTCAGCTTACCGCTTATCTTTTTTAGCCAAGTGTCTGGGTTTAGAATCAGATTATTTAAATGTATGTCTAGATTTCAAGAGTTTTAGAAAAAAAAAACTGTCAGCAGTTTTTAATCACAAAACTTCTGTGATTCAGGGAGCAGCCTATTGTGATCTTCAGCTGCCCCAAGCAAATTATGTCCTGAATTTACAAAACATAAAATCTGGTAACTAGCTACAGCACTCTTGAGAACTCAAAGCTAATAAGAACAGATTATAATTCAAGAAACTAGCAGTTATTCTAGAATAACATTTTAATTGGTTGTTGATGACTACAAAAAATCATAGAAAAAGTCATAGAAAAAAATCATAGAAAAAATTCATAGTTAAAAATAGCATAGAAGAGAAAACAAAAATAATGGAGGTAAAAAAAAATCACACCCAGAAAAATCAAGGATGGCCAGGAGGAGGCATGGCAGCTAGTTAATGGAGGAAGAGATACATAGTGTCCTAACACTGTAGCAGAAAACTGGGAGGAACAACAGCCACTCAAACCTTACTTCCAGGGCCAGGCATGGTGGTGCACACTTTTAATCCCAGCACTCAGGAGAAAGAGGCAGGTGGATCTCTGTAAGTTCGAGGCCAGCCTGGTCTACAAAGCAAGTTTCAGGACAGTCAGGACTATATAGAGAAACCTGTCTCAAAAAAGCAAACCAAACCTAAAACGAAAAACAAAACAACAAAAATCACTCCTCAAATCATATGCACAGGGGAGTCCTTTTAACCGTAAAGAATAAAGTCTTCAGTCATAAAAAATGGATTAACTGGAAATAAACATACTAAACAAATTAAATCAGTCCCATAAAGAGAAACAATGTATGTTTTCTCTCATTTATGGTTCCTCGATCGTCTACAGAGAGACAAAAAGCATTAATTTGTATATGACATGAAAGTAGACGTGATGCTGCCTAAGGAACAAAGGAACTATGAGGAGGGAGACATGGAAAGGGACAGAGGGATGGAGGTACAGGGGAAACATACTCAATATACAACATGGGGTTTATGAAAATTTTAGAAAATGATAAAAATAATTAAATAACCCCATGGCTAGTGTTTTAGAAGTTTGGAAACCTACAGAATCATAACCAAGTTGTGAAACTGCACCAAGCCATGCTAGTTGGGTTGTATTTTCCACCATGGACAATCCAAGGGCACAAGAATACAAATTTGGTAAATTTTAAAAAGTGGATATTGACATTTTACAAACATGAATATAAAAACATTCACGGATTGGTGTGGTTTGGACCATAATAGGTGAGTCCTGAGGTCCTATACTCATTCCAAAATCCTGCAGCTCCATGATGAGTGTGTGCAGCTTGTGACGTCACTGCCCAGCCACAAGGAGCCGGGGTCGCCCTGCCTTGATGCTCTGTGACTCTTGCTTTGCTCTGGCCTTTCTTTGCTTGCTCTGCCCCCAACTCCTTCCTTTTGGATGAGAACCAACCCTGTGCCACTGTAAGCTGGAAGTACAAAACTTGTTTATTGGTTTTTCAGGAACTCATGGTTAAAAAGACTATTTTTGAACAGTGTTGGAACATTAAAAATTATGGAAACTTCTGAAGTTAGAATGAATGTATTCTGCATTAAAGATGACCAAGAACCTATCGGGACAAAGAGTAGAAAGTAATAGCTTTAAAATCATATGTTTAAGTCGGGTGTGGTGAAGCATGCACTTAATTTGAGCACTCAGGAGACAGAGGCAAGCGGATCTCTGTGAGTTTCAAGTCAGTCTGGTCTACAAAGTGAATTCCAGGACAGCTAGTAGCCAAGACTGTTACACAAAGAAATCCTGTCTCAAAAAACTTGGGGCCTAAGAGAGAGAGAGAGAGAGAGTTCAGCCATTAAAAAAAAAATAAAAACTAAGGCTCATAACCAAAAGTGGTAGGAAATGTCTCAGCTATCAAGAGGTTAAGACAGCACACTGCCCTTACAGAGGACCAAAGCTCAGTCCCCAGAACCCAAAACAGGTAGTTTGCAACTGCCTGTAACTCCAGCTTAAGGAAATCTGACATCCTCTTCTGGCCTCTGTTGGCACTGAATTCATACACACAATTAAAAATAAAATTAAATGTATTTTTAAATGATATATTTGGGTATCAAGTTGACAATAAGTGGTCTTGTGATGTTAATATTGTTAGCTTGACAGGATCTGGAATCATCTATGAGATAAACCTCTAAACATAACTGTAAAAAAGTTTTCTGATTGGGTTGAGGTGAGAAGATCCACCCTAAATATGGGCAGCAGAACTTCACAAGTTTGGGCCCCAGAATGAGAAGGAGAAAGTGAGCTGAGCACCTGCATTCATCTCCATCTGCTTCCCTTGCAGAAGCAGGGACACCGGCTGAGGTACAGTCCCACTACAACTGCACCAAGATGGACTGTACCTCACACTCTGAGCCTCATGTTTGCTTTATATCCATGTTTGCTTTATATCCATGGGAGGCCTGCCCTCTTCTGAATCGAAATGAAGGAGGAGAGGATGGGGGGAGAGGGAGAAGGTGGGAGGGAAGGACTAGGAAGAGAGGAAGGAGGGGAAACTGTAGTTGGAATGTAAAAATCATTAAAAGAATAAAACAAACCAAAAAATTCACATATTTAATTATTTACTCTTTCTCACTGATTAATCAAATCTGCCTTGTAGCTCAGTGTAAATCTTTTTTTAACTCTATCTTTGAAAACAATGATTGCTTATTTTTCTTTCCTAAAACATAAAATATTCCTTTTTCTATATGCTTGAAGGAATAAAAAAATGTTGATTTTCCATGATTAATTTTTACATGGCTAGACTATAATAAATTCTTTTCTTAAATCTTTGTAGATAATTCTCTGGATTTTCTAGGTACATAGAAAGCGATTACCAACTTGGACTTGCTAATAAGTATGTACACCCAGCTTATGCATCATGCCAGTTCACTAGTTAGAGATTTCTGAAGAGAACCAAACTTTAACTGTGATACTTTCCTTGCTCCTACAATCAGTTTAACCCTGGTTCAAACTGCATTGCTTAGACACAAGAGGAAAGAGAACTCATCAGTGTGGGTTCTTAAGAAAGTAGGCAGCACACTCCTAAAATTTCCACCAGAGAAACCAAGACTGAAATCAAGAGGGGGCCACCATTCAAATGACCTGGGAAGCACAGACATTTCAAACATCTCACTAAGAACTGTATCACAGTAAACTCAGGTATTCTTTCAACATGGGGAGAAGGAAGATCTAAACTGAGAACGAAAGAACTAACTTAAGGCTAACTGTAAGTTATGGGAAGCCAAAAACAATGCTCTCACTGTTTTTTTTTCTTTTTTTAAATTCAGTTAGAATAAGATTCCTTTTAAAAGTTCACTAACTGAACTTTCAAAAATATTAACATGCAATTTCATAAGTAATTAAATTGTGGGCACATCTGTCACTAGGGCTAATTAAAAGGACAGTTCACTTGTGCCCTGGAAGTTAAGTGTAGCTCAGAGAGAGGACAGCAGCTAGTGAAACCCACATCTATGCTAGCAACATTTAGCTACTGGGCAATGGCAGTGTAAAAGAAGGTCTGCTTCTGAAATGCTTCTAGACAGCTTGAGACCTACCTTATTTTTAACAATGGCTCAACCCTTAAAATATCATGAAACAGGATATTTAGAAATTCTTCAGGATCTAGGAGAAAACAAAGCAAAACAAAACAAAACAAAAAAACCCAAGTGAATCACAGAGAAAATTTAAAAACCATTCTATTCTTTAAGAGAGACATATTAATTAAAAGTTTAGTTATTTCAGGTTCTCCTGACAAGGGAAAACTTATAATAAAACATTACTTTTCCATTTGTTGTCATGATGCCCTATTTAACAGAATATACTCATTCACACACAGTAAAATCATTTTTATGTCTTTTGGGAGGTTCAGTAGAATATACCTGGTATATGCCCTATTTTTTCTTCTATTTTAGTAATAGCCATGTGTATAAATGCCACAGCTGGTTATAGTATACTGTTAACAAACTAATTCAGGAGTTGAATCTGAGCAAATTCTTCAGTTGTGAGCAGACAGAAGTGCCGGCCAACTGCTCCACAGCCCCTTTCAACAGGGAGCACAGTGAGAAACTGAGTGCTGGGGACTCTCCCTATCACAGGAAGAGAAGCAGCTCCGAACAGCCCTGCTGGGGACAAGGACAGCTCTTTACTTGGTCATCTTCTGTAGAGCCAGCCGGCTGGCCTCTTAAAGACTTCTTCCACATCACATCACTTCAGAAGAATCACAAAATCAGGAGAAATATGCATGTCACATAGAAAAGAAACTTTTCATATTTTTGCAGTGCTGGGAATCAAACCCAAGGCCTCTTACATACTCCACCACTGAGTATACTCCTAGTCCTCTCAAATGAATCTAACTTAAATTTAATCCTCTAAACTAAATTGGTATATTTCAGGAAATAATTTAGCATATTACTAGATGATAAACTTTCAAGTTATTTTCAATGCATATATTATAAATTAAAAGGGTCACCTTTTTCTTCAGATGTAAATCCTGATGCAGCAGGAACTTTTTCAAGTATTTTCCTCAGTTTCATAGTTTTTGTGGCACACACATATCCATATCTGTTGATAAAAGTGAATTAACTGACACTGGCACAGTGAGTCATATGGCACATCTTAATAATCAAGTACTTTTCATACAATTGTAACATGTTAAAAAAAACAAGAGACAAGGCATTTATTTTTAAGAAACAACTGTAGGCTTCTTACAGAAGTTTGAAAAGTGAAAGTCTGAGAATCAGAATTGTTTCCAGATACTATTAAACACCTTAAAAATAACTACCATGTACTAATACAATTCTGAAATTTTTATGAAGCCTGGGTGAAGCAATTTTTAAATGGCATTTGCTTATTATATTAAAATACTTATTTTATAAAATAGGATATCCAAATTTGAGAGAGCCCTTCTATTACACAGGATAAGAGACATGGAAAAGGGAACTGATGAGATACTAAAAATCTAAAGTCTGAAATCAAACAGTCAACATAATTATGACATTCTCTTTGTTTGACTATAGGAGACCATGGGCTTACAAGAACAAGTCAGAGACAGCTAATCATACTGTGTACCCGCTTTTTAGAGTGACCATCCACCTACTTGGTAGCTCTTTGCAGTCAGCAAACACTAAACACCTACCACTTGTGTAATGCTATATGTAGGGCACCAAAAATACAAAAGGAGATTAAAGAAACCTAACAACAACAAAAAACCAAATAAACAAAACAGGATCTCTACCTGTGGGTGCTTCCATTACATAATGCGAAACCTCTGTCCAAACAACAGATATGACATTTGCAGACACAAGAAATATATCTCAAATTTCTGAACTACTGATCTTGCCTTAGCCTCTTGAGCTATCAAGTGCTGGGATTACAGGTATATCCCACCATGCCTGACAAGACGCACCTTGGTCTCATAGGCCATGCAACAAGTGTTTTCTATAGAGTGGTGACAAAATTAGAATAACTATGATTCTGGACTAGTTGGGCAATCGTATGCAAAAAACGTTTACTGATGGATTGACAGTATTTTAAAAAGAAGGAAGGTTGTGATAATATGCCTTGTAGTTAAGATTTGACCTGTGCTGTTCTAGTGTCATTTACATAGGGAAAGAAAAATCTGAGAGTTTAAAATTTGTGTAAGACAAAATAATTAATATTAAAATCAAAGCACATAATTAAAGGATAAGATGATTAGAAAAGTAAGGCAAACAAGTATCTAGAGAAATTTGTTTCACTTTTAATTTACTTTCTTAGCTATGTGACACAGTACGTCGTTTGGAATACTCCTTATAGTTTCATATTTTGTTATTTTTAAATATATTACGTTAATTTTTATTTTCACTGTTAAGAAAAGTGTACCACAAAGTTTAAATTGATCACAGTTGGACTTTAAATTGCATAGTTTGTTCTCTATGTCCCTGAGCTATCTGTTTCCTGATCACTGGATAATCTAACTCTTCATCACATAAACGCCTTGTGAAGTCATCACACATCAGCATCATGTATCAAAGTCTTCTTACATGGTCTTCTGCACATTTACAACTACCTTAGTAAAGGAGTAAAAGAAGACCTAAAGAAATTCTTTTAAATAAACAAAACACCATGTCACTTTAATATACCTCACTTGTTTCTAGTGCAATGTCATGTACTAGACAAAGAGGCAAAGGGATAAATTTGTAGTGCATGACTCCAAATGAGTCCCATCATTTTACAGAATGCACTGCCCAGACTAAAACACACATAAACAGAGGACAAAAAACAAAGGTTTTAAAAAGTCAGTATTTCATGAGAACTAACTTCTTTTTTTTTTACTACGAGTACAGAGCATAAATTAATTACTATACAAGAAAACAGTACACAGAACACCAACTAAAGACAAAACACATGTCTTCTACTTACATTCTCAGAGGATTGACTATTGCTGTCCTCAGTAGCTCCTGGGTCTCACTATAATACTCCACATCATTCTTTTCCTTGGGTCTGAGCAACACAGTATCCAGGACAGAACTAAAAGCAAATAAGCTGCAAAATAAAAGAATATTTTCCTCATGTTATAAAAAGAATAAAATTTGAGAAAGATTCTTAAAGGAGTAGGAAGAGGCAAAGGGATAAAGTGTAGGGAACCACTGGCCTAAGAACTCATGGACAGACCACACAGGCCCTGTGCTCAGTACCCAGAGACCCTGCAGATCCGGACCAGAAACACCAAGACTGCACCATACACGTGAAGGTTGAAAACACGCCAGAGAACATTATGAAAGAAGCTTGTTTACATAAACCAAGAGAGGCCTAGAAATCGGTCACACACACACAGACAACATAGGGAGAAAGTCAGAGACTGGTCAAGACCAGATCAGACTAGTCAGGACAACTTCATTTCATTATCATCAGATAGGCATTTCCTTATAATAACTTGTGAGTGATTAGCAATAAAAATTTGCTGGTATCAAAGAAAATAAATTTAGTTAAAATAAATTTTTATCAGCAAATCTAAGGAATATTATAGTAATGCTTGCTTGTTTGTTTAATCAAAAGTATCCCAGCAACGACAAGACCCACCTTTATTGTGCTCTCTCCTTTAAAATTCTAACTTCCACACTAACTTCCTAACTCTTGTGGCACAGCCTACCGAGTGGCAGATCCACTTCACTGGCAGTGCACAACCCTTACGGCTATAGATGCAATCTTCATAGCCTAATGATCCTTGCTGTTCAACTTGATCCACTTTAGGGAAAACTACACAAAGGAGGGCAACAGTGATCCCATGGAAAGTAATTTTTAATATTAAGAATTTTTATGATCATCTCGAGATTCCAGAACCCACGCAGCACACAATGCCAATAGCTTGCTGCAGGTTACTTGGCACACGTGCCATCATCTACACTGGAGGCAGATGTCCTCAGAGTATCTGTTCACTCATTATTCACTGCAGTATTTTTATATTAGTGCTTTGGATCTAGGAATAGGATATGAAATTCTTTAGTCACTAAGGACCAAATCTCATGATCTTTCCTAACTCTGTCAGTTTCTCTACTCAAAGGCAACTGGCACCTTCTTCCATATACACACACACACATACCTGTCTCCCCTCTCCCCCACACAGCACTATTTACACTTACTGCAGAAAATAGGAACTTACCTGAATAAAGTTGAGTCCAAGTAACAAGAATTGTAATAGCCCTGGATGCCTTTCTTCTTTCCAATCATTATCTCTAAACCTTCTTTTTCCGTCTTTGGTGGAGTATTTTCTTCTACTACTTCACTTAAGTAGCCTCCAAATACTGAAAAGATAAAAAATAAAAATAATCTTTTAAATCATGACAGTATATATTCATATGCATGTATATATATATATATCATTTAAAGTATATTTTGGCATCTTCTGCATTTTTTTACTTTAGTTTACTGATATTTATCTGGACTTATAAAAATTCAATTATTCACTTTCAACATCATTCCTGTCATATAGAGTTTAGAAAATTAAGTCAATTAAGCATCTGTCAAAGAATATTTTGTTACTTGTCCAAAATGTTTCATTTTCAAGTATAAAAAGAAAACAAGTTTCCAAAATACTCTTCAACATTAAGAAAAATGTTTTTCATAAAGATGTTTTCCCTATTTCCCCCTGCTTGACTCTCAGTATTGTTAAGGGAAAGGCCAGCATCAGCAAGCTAGTGACAATGAGAAGAATTGTCCTCCATCTGTCAAGCCAACTGCATCCCCAGACTGTATCAGATTTCTTCATAAGGACATCCGAAATGAGGTACTTAAAAAGATGCGGAGGGGGAAGTTATTGCTAAAGGGACCACATTTTCATTTCTACCACCCACACTGCCAAAAATTTAATGTCTATAATCAATAAAAGAGAAGAAAAAACACCACCTTTCAGTCTTTAGACCCTAAACACTTTTCCTAACTCTTCTTTCAACATATCTCCTCTTAGGACAACTCTCTTATGCACCAAGTAAGAATCTTTACCAACTTCGAAACTTCATGAACACTGGCAAGTAAATAAAACATTTAAACACTGTCACCCTCAGATGCTAAAATGTAGCAAGAAACAGTCATTCCAGATGGGTAAATAAATTAAAAGTATCCAATTACCTAAAGAATTACACCTTTCAATCTGATTATAAACAGGCTCCAGAAACTCAAACCTAGAGTCCGGTCTGCAGCTCTTCAATTTCACAAACAGAGCCTTCTTCACGTCGCAGGTGAAATAGCGCGTGCCCCTGAACGTGCCATCTGTACAGCCCGCACATTCATCCTCCTGAAAAAGAAAGGTTTTGGTATGTGTTACACCGGGAAGAGCTATGGAGTTTTCACTTTTTCTGAATTTCTCTTTCAAATCTTTTCTGAACAGATCAGCAAGAAGGAAAAGGGACTGACTAACTGGTGCTTTGGCCCTCAGCTGGTGGTTTAAGAAAATAATTCTTTAGCCCTCCGGGAAGTATTTGATGCATTTCCTTTCAAAATACATGCTTAGAACTTCCTTGGTTTACTGAGTTTCCCTGAGCCATTTCAAAAGTATTAAAATCAAGGGGCAGGAGTAGATAAATTACCTAGTTCCTCAACAGCAAGAAGACAAGTGAAAAAAAGTTAAAAACTATATTTAGGCAATAGCTAAATTTATTCAAATTCTCCCTCCTGGTTATGAAATATCACACAATATACTTTTTTTAGAGCCAAAAATAAAACCTTCCCCTCTCCCAAAGACTCCAAACATGATTAATTTTAAAGTCAGTCACATCCCTGAACTGACTGCAATGGGAGGAGGCTAAAGAATAAGAAGGAGAACTGGTCACTGAACTGCTTTCTTTGCTGCATTCTGTTTGTATGTGGAGACTACATGTTCTAGCCTAAAAATCAATCTATTCCTTGATCACAAACATGAGGAATAAGTGAGTGAGAAGCCTTAGCAATGGCAAAGGGTGAAGGTAAGCAATACTATATTTCCTCTACTACTGAATTTTTTTTGAGAAAAAATAACTTCCCAAGAAATTATCTAATAGAGGAAAACGTAGTTTTAAAACCCATGAAGAAAAGTTGTAGATTTCAAGCCAAAACAAATTACCAGTTCCAGCCCAGCTAGCACGTCACTGAGCCCAGGCGGCTGGCCAATCCAACGGATAACCCCATAGAACGGGGGATTCTTTTTCACTTCAGCCAGTGAGCCCACCTCTAGGCCGTATGCATTACCAGAAGAGATGGGCAAAGGTGGACTCTTCTGGACAGGCAAGCTGTTCAGCTCGCCCATCACACACTGCACTGACAATGACAGTGGGCTGTGAGCAATGCTGCCGTTAGTATTGGGCATCTTGGTCAGGCTGAACGGTAGAGAGTGCAATCTGTTCTTGCTGGATAAGGAGTTCATGGAAGGAGGTTGTGGTGGAGGTGATGAATGTCCAAAGTCTGGAGACAGCTCTGTAAGTGACTTTGCAGGGTCTTCTGCAACTATGAAAAATTGTCCTTAATTAGAAAAGGCTGTTCAAGAACATTAAATATGACTGCATCTTCTAAAAACAATACAAAGTTCTAGTCTAACTGATCACATGATCCCTTTGCAAGTCTGCTTGAAAGCACTGTAAACTCATTGGCTCTGAATAATGTTTTTGCTCCTCTTCTCGACCTCCACAGATTCCTGTCTCAGTAATCTGGCATTGGTAGCTAAGACTAGTCAGTATCACATGGATTATTTTCTTTCCCATAATGTGATTAAATTAGAAATTAGTATAAAGAGATATAAAAATTAAATAATAATTCTAAATAACCTCTGGAAGAACAGCCAGTGCTCTTAATCTCTGAGCCATCTCTCCGGCCCATGATGAATGAATTCTTGAGAGAGGCAGGTCATGCTGCCTATGCTCACAAAACAACACTCAGTGCGAGAATCAGATGTGGCAAATACCCACTCAGGTCACTTTCTGTGTGAGTATATATGTAACCTGTAGTATGCAACTGTAGATTGTACTGTGTGTTTTAGCTTATAACTGAATCCATGTCATAAGCAGTCATCCTAGAGACTTAGAACACTATATTTTCATTTAGTTTACTGAATCTACTGAATACAAAGCACTGTAGAAGCACTAGGAACTTATAGAAAATACAGGCAAATAACCAAAACCACTTCAGGGACACTTAACCTAACCTAAGAGAGTGAGTGAGTACAGCGGGAGAAAAGGTTTCAGTTTAAGAGGTGAAGAGCAGTCAGCCAGACCATTGAACTGGAGGAACTAGAAGGATTTCCAGGTAATTAACTTGCACAGATGAAGGAAATAAATACATGAAAGGAGAATGATATCTAGGAAACAAGGAAGGTAGTGTATTTTAAAGAAAGGAAGATAGGCAAGGCTTTAAATGAGTCAATTCATTTCTAGAAACAGTTGATCCTAAGAAGGTGTATTAAGAGATAAGAACAAACTGCTGGGCATAGTGGTGTACACTTTTAATCTCAACACTCAGGAACCAGAAGCAGGTGAGTCTCTGTGAGTTCGAGGCCAGTCTGCTCAACAGAGCAAGTTCTAGGACAGCAAGGACTTCTTATACAGAGAAACCTGTCATGGGTAAAAAAAACAAAGCAAAACAAAACCCAGACTACTAACATATTTCAAATGTATCCTCAACCCTAATAACAGTGCAGTTGAAACTGTGTTTAATATTTTAGTTCAGCAATATTGTCATATTAGCTATGATCTATTCACTGTTTCCAAAATTAACAAATATTGATGAAACAGTCATTTCCCCTTACATATTAAACAGAGGGTACCATTATAAAGAGGACTAAAATTATAGATTACCTTCATCAATATAAAATGAATTTTTGGATTTGGATTGTTGTTGTGAGTCAACAGATGACCTAATTAAGGAACAAAATAATTCAGAACTGGTTCTACTTCCACGGTCTGAGGTAGATCCTATGGAACAAGAAAAGTTCCTTTTTTAAAAAGCCAATATGTTATAAAAAGAAATTTTATAAATAAATTAACATGCGTATGGTAGAACAACTGCTCACACAACTAATATACATATACATAGTATTGTATTGTCTTCGGCTTTAAAAGTTTGGTAATTAGTCAACACAGGAGAGAGTAGGAGTAATAAAATTAATATAAAAGTTAGCCGTTTATATTAAAGCTCTAAGAAACCATTCTGGTGGTCAGGGGTGACACGAGCCTTTAATCCCAGCACTTAGTAGAGGCAGGCATATCTGAGTTTGAGGCCATCCTGGTCTATTGAGCAAGTTCCAGGACACTACAGACTATCTAAAGAAATCTGGACAAAAAAAAAATCATTCCATGTAGTCTATTTTTCAATGTCACCTCTACTTTGATGAAATTACTGGCTCACGAATTTCACCTCTATCATTCATACCATATAACAGTGGTTTTCCACCTTCCTAAATCTGACACCCTTTAATACAATACCTCAAACTGTGGCAAACCCCAACCAGAAAATTATTTTCGTTGTTACTTTATTACTGCAATTTTGCTACTGTTATGAATTGTAATATAAATATCTTTCTTTTCCAAAGGTCTTAAACGATCCCAATAAAAGGGTCATTCAAACCCCAAAGGGGTCACGATCCACAGAATGAAACCCCGTTGCAGTCAACAAAAGAACATCCAGCAGTGTTATAGAGCCTAGACATACACAAAGTTCTTTCACCAAGGTTTGTGAAGTGCATTCTATGATGGTCACATGATGTGGGATTCTCCTCCGCATGCTGTGAATACCATTGGTTAATAAAGAAATAGGCTTGGCCTGATAGAGTAGAACAGAGCTAGGTGGGGAAAACTGAATGCTGGGAGGAAGAAGGGCAGAGTCAGTGAGAAGCCATATAGCCCCACAGGAGATGCCGGAACTTTACCCGGTAGACCACAGCCTCGTGGCAATACATAGATTAATGGAGATGGGTTAATTTAAGATGAGTTAGCCAGAAATATGCTTAAGCTATTGGCCAAACAGTATTGCAAATAATATGGTTTCTGTGTGATTATTTTGGGGCTGAGCAGCTGGGAACAAACAAGAGGTCTCATTAAAAAGTCACACACACACACACACACACACACAAAAAAAAACTGCCGAATGATGCACTTCTCAGAACTCATCCCATTAATAAGTGGCTCATCATTATAATTTCCCTTCATAAACTTCAAATGTGATCATACAAGCTGATGAACAAATTAAGTTAAAAAACATTCAGGTTTTGGGTGGATATATGGATCAGGAGTAGAGTCCTATTTTAGTTTGTGTAAGATGCAAGATTTGAAGCAAGCACCAAAAAATAAAAATAAAAAAGTAATCTCAGTGTCTGGAACAATACCTGAGTAAAAAAGTACTTACCTAGCTTATAAGGTTCTGTTGACTTTGATCCCCAACATTACAAAAGAAATAATATATTTTTTTAGATTTACAATATAAACATCTTAGAATTTTATTAACACAATTTCTTGTTCTTTGTAGTTTAGGAGGATGGACCTCCGAGGCTCTGTGCCCTCATTAGGGATGTGGTGGAATATTCGGCCTGTGCCTGTCAATGGCCTGACAATGCAGCCCACGACCCATATGACCAGGGGTACTTTCCTTCTTTCAGGAGAAGGCCAGGATCACCTCAAGCACCAAGACTAGGAAGCCTGATGACGACAAGAAGACATGATTTCGAGTCTAGCATCTCTCATGCACTGCTTGAGCTGGAGATGAACTCAGATCTCAAGGCACAGCTTGGAAACTCAGTATCACCCACCACAGCCAAGGAAACTGAAGCTGGTGATGGTCAGAAAGCAATCCTTATTTTAGCACCAGTTTCTCAGAAGAAATCTTTCCAGAAAATCCAAGTCCGGATGGTTCATGAATTAGAGAAAAAGTTTAGTGGCAAGCATGCAGTCTTCACTGCTCAAAGAAGATTCTGCCCAAGCCAACTCAGAAAAGCTGTACAAAAAAATAAGCAAAAGCACCAAAAGCTGCACCCTGGCAGCTGTACATGACACCATCCTTGGGGACTTGTTCTTCCCAAGTGAAACGGTGGATACTCCGTGTGAATGCATGGCAGTCAGCTCCTAAAGGTTCATTTAGACAAAGCTCAGCAGAACAAGCAGAACACAGGTCGAAACTTTTTCTGGTGTGTATTAGAAGCTCCCTCCCTCCCTCTCTCTCTCTCTCTCTCTCTCCCCCTCTAGTGTTTTTCGCTGGAACTTGCTCTGTCAACCAGGTTGTCCTCAAACACAGAGATCCACGTGCCTTTGCCTCCTGAGAGCTGGGATTGAAGGCGTGTAACACCGCCAGCTGTTCTCTCTTATCCAAATAAAAAGCTCCCTCCACAGCTCATAGGCTGGCCATTTCAGTGGATTCTTTACTACATCCTCACTTCAAATCATGTACATAAAATTTTAGTTGACATAAAGTGTAGGAACAAACTATATGTATACATATATATATATATATATACATATACACACACACACAAACAATAACATATAGCTTATTTAACATCTTGGAGAATCATATTATCTTATTGTAAATTACCAAGAATGGGCTCCATACCTGTAACCTTTGGTTCATTAATACTAGATGAACCTTTGTCACCATCATCTCTTGACATAAAGGCAAGTTTGGGAGGCCTCCTTTCCGGTGTCATGCTCTCTGAAATAGTAAACATACTTTTTAACTATATATGGAAGAAACATAGTTTAGCATAAAAAACAAAGAAATCCTTTCCAACAAAAAAGGCACAATCTTTATAGTCTTACAGATTCTCTTTAAAGACTCCACAGTACTGAAAGGTAATTTCTCAGGTGAAAAAAAATCAACACTGTACTTAAAAATATAATTTCTGTAAGAAAATATAATCATCAGTTATCAAAAGGCTTTAATTTTTGAAAAGTTAGTCAGAAGCAGTCAATTTTATTTGAAGTTTTAAAAAGCTTTAAAGAAAACCTTATTCATACTTTTCGTCACATTTTCCAGATCAGCATGACCAAAACAACCCTACACATTACAGTGTTTTACATTCAAGCGTTTATGGAGGGTTTCAAGATAAACATGGACAATCTTGTTTACTGTAAAAACCGGAGCCTTTACATGCCCACGTGCCTGGATAACCTCTAACCAATGTGCTGCACTAAACTGACTTGATAAAACTTTCTCAGCCACCCAAGTATGCTGGATCAGTGCATTTCACAGAACACAGCTTGATAAAATCTTGGGTAGGAGACAAATCAGAGTTAGGAATGGACTCAGTACTAGTATGTTTCCACTTTTAAGCATAACATGCATTAAGAATAACAGATATGTATACAAACAAATGCAAACAGGAAAAGCAGAGAATTACACACAAATCAATAATGCAAGTTCTAGGACAGCAAGGACTTTCTATACAGAGAAACTCTGTCTCGGGTAAAAAAAACAAAGCAAAACAAAACCCAGACTGCTAACATATTTCAAATGTATCCTCAACCCTAATAACAGTGTAGTTGAAACTGTGTTTAATATTTTAGTTCAGCAATATTGTCATATTAGCTATGATCTATTCACTGTTTCCAAAATTAACAAATATTGATGAAAAAGTCATTTCCCCTTACATATTAAACAGAGGGTACCATTATAAAGAGGACTAAAATTATAGATTACCTTCATCAATATACAATGAATTTTTGGATTTGGATTGTTGTTGTGAGTCAACAGATGACCCACTTAAGGTATAAAATAATTCAGAACTGGTTCTACTTCCAGGGTCTGAGGTAGATCCTATGGAACAAGAAAAGTTCCTTTTTTAAAAAGCCAATATGTTATAAAAAGAAATTTTATAAATAAATTAACATGCGTATGGTAGAACAACTGCTCACACAACTAATATACATATACATAGTATTGTATTGTCTTCGGCTTTAAAAGTTTGGTAATTAGTCAACACAGAAGAGAGTAGGAGTAATAAAATTAATATAAAAGTTAGCCGTTTATATTAAAGCTCTAAGAAACCATTCTGGTGGTCAGTGGTGACACGAGCCTTTAATCCCAGCACTTAGTAGAGGCAGGCATATCTGAGTTTGAGGCCATCCTGGTCTATTGAGCAAGTTCCAGGACACTACAGACTATCTAAAGAAATCTGGACAAAAAAAAATCATTCCATGTAGTCTATTTTTCAATGTCACCTCTACTTTGATGAAATTACTGGCTCACGAATTTCACCTCTATCATTCATACCATATAACAGTGGTTTTCCACCTTCCTAAATCTGACACCCTTTAATACAATACCTCAAACTGTGGCAAACCCCAACCAGAAAATTATTTTCGTTGTTACTTTATTACTGCAATTTTGCCACTGTTATGAATTGTAATATAAATATCTTTCTTTTCCAATGGTCTTAAACGATCCCAATAAAAGGGTCATTCAAACCCCAAAGGGGTCACGATCCACAGAATGAAACCCCGTTGCAGTCAACAAAAGAACATCCAGCAGTGTTATAGAGCCTAGACATACACAAAGTTCTTTCACCAAGGTTTGTGAAGTGCATTCTATGATGGTCACATGATGTGGGATTCTCCTCCGCATGCTGTGAATACCATTGGTTAATAAAGAAATAGGCTTGGCCTGATAGAGTAGAACAGAGCTAGGTGGGGAAAACTGAATGCTGGGAGGAAGAAGGGCAGAGTCAGTGAGAAGCCATATAGCCCCACAGGAGATGCCGGAACTTTACCCGGTAGACCACAGCCTCGTGGCAATACATAGATTAATGGAGATGGGTTAATTTAAGATGAGTTAGCCAGAAATATGCTTAAGCTATTGGCCAAACAGTATTGCAAATAATATGGTTTCTGTGTGATTATTTTGGGGCTGAGCAGCTGGGAACAAACAAGAGGTCTCATTAAAAAGTCACACACACACACACACACACACAAAAAAAAAAACTGCCGAATGATGCACTTCTCAGAACTCATCCCATTAATAAGTGGCTCATCATTATAATTTCCCTTCATAAACTTCAAATGTGATCATACAAGCTGATGAACAAATTAAGTTAAAAAACATTCAGGTTTTGGGTGGATATATGGATCAGGAGTAGAGTCCTATTTTAGTTTGTGTAAGATGCAAGATTTGAAGCAAGCACCAAAAAATAAAAATAAAAAAGTAATCTCAGTGTCTGGAACAATACCTGAGTAAAAAAGTACTTACCTAGCTTATAAGGTTCTGTTGACTTTGATCCCCAACATTACAAAAGAAATAATATATTTTTTTAGATTTACAATATAAACATCTTAGAATTTTATTAACACAATTTCTTGTTCTTTGTAGTTTAGGAGGATGGACCTCCGAGGCTCTGTGCCCTCATTAGGGATGTGGTGGAATATTCGGCCTGTGCCTGTCAATGGCCTGACAATGCAGCCCACGACCCATATGACCAGGGGTACTTTCCTCCTTTCAGGAGAAGGCCAGGATCACCTCAAGCACCAAGACTAGGAAGCCTGATGACGACAAGAAGACATGATTTCGAGTCTAGCATCTCTCATGCACTGCTTGAGCTGGAGATGAACTCAGATCTCAAGGCACAGCTTGGAAACTCAGTATCACCCACCACAGCCAAGGAAACTGAAGCTGGTGATGGTCAGAAAGCAATCCTTATTTTAGCACCAGTTTCTCAGAAGAAATCTTTCCAGAAAATCCAAGTCCGGATGGTTCATGAATTAGAGAAAAAGTTTAGTGGCAAGCATGCAGTCTTCACTGCTCAAAGAAGATTCTGCCCAAGCCAACTCAGAAAAGCTGTACAAAAAAATAAGCAAAAGCACCAAAAGCTGCACCCTGGCAGCTGTACATGACACCATCCTTGGGGACTTGTTCTTCCCAAGTGAAACGGTGGATACTCCGTGTGAATGCATGGCAGTCAGCTCCTAAAGGTTCATTTAGACAAAGCTCAGCAGAACAAGCAGAACACAGGTCGAAACTTTTTCTGGTGTGTATTAGAAGCTCCCTCCCTCCCTCTCTCTCTCTCTCTCTCTCTCCCCCTCTAGTGTTTTTCGCTGGAACTTGCTCTGTCAACCAGGTTGTCCTCAAACACAGAGATCCACGTGCCTTTGCCTCCTGAGAGCTGGGATTGAAGGCGTGTAACACCGCCAGCTGTTCTCTCTTATCCAAATAAAAAGCTCCCTCCACAGCTCATAGGCTGGCCATTTCAGTGGATTCTTTACTACATCCTCACTTCAAATCATGTACATAAAATTTTAGTTGACATAAAGTGTAGGAACAAACTATATGTATACATATATATATATATATATACATATACACACACACACAAACAATAACATATAGCTTATTTAACATCTTGGAGAATCATATTATCTTATTGTAAATTACCAAGAATGGGCTCCATACCTGTAACCTTTGGTTCATTAATACTAGATGAACCTTTGTCACCATCATCTCTTGACATAAAGGCAAGTTTGGGAGGCCTCCTTTCCGGTGTCATGCTCTCTGAAATAGTAAACATACTTTTTAACTATATATGGAAGAAACATAGTTTAGCATAAAAAACAAAGAAATCCTTTCCAACAAAAAAGGCACAATCTTTATAGTCTTACAGATTCTCTTTAAAGACTCCACAGTACTGAAAGGTAATTTCTCAGGTGAAAAAAAATCAACACTGTACTTAAAAATATAATTTCTGTAAGAAAATATAATCATCAGTTATCAAAAGGCTTTAATTTTTGAAAAGTTAGTCAGAAGCAGTCAATTTTATTTGAAGTTTTAAAAAGCTTTAAAGAAAACCTTATTCATACTTTTCGTCACATTTTCCAGATCAGCATGACCAAAACAACCCTACACATTACAGTGTTTTACATTCAAGCGTTTATGGAGGGTTTCAAGATAAACATGGACAATCTTGTTTACTGTAAAAACCGGAGCCTTTACATGCCCACGTGCCTGGATAACCTCTAACCAATGTGCTGCACTAAACTGACTTGATAAAACTTTCTCAGCCACCCAAGTATGCTGGATCAGTGCATTTCACAGAACACAGCTTGATAAAATCTTGGGTAGGAGACAAATCAGAGTTAGGAATGGACTCAGTACTAGTATGTTTCCACTTTTAAGCATAACATGCATTAAGAATAACAGATATGTATACAAACAAATGCAAACAGGAAAAGCAGAGAATTACACACAAATCAATAATGCAAGTTCTAGGACAGCAAGGACTTTCTATACAGAGAAACTCTGTCTCGGGTAAAAAAAACAAAGCAAAACAAAACCCAGACTGCTAACATATTTCAAATGTATCCTCAACCCTAATAACAGTGTAGTTGAAACTGTGTTTAATATTTTAGTTCAGCAATATTGTCATATTAGCTATGATCTATTCACTGTTTCCAAAATTAACAAATATTGATGAAAAAGTCATTTCCCCTTACATATTAAACAGAGGGTACCATTATAAAGAGGACTAAAATTATAGATTACCTTCATCAATATACAATGAATTTTTGGATTTGGATTGTTGTTGTGAGTCAACAGATGACCCACTTAAGGTATAAAATAATTCAGAACTGGTTCTACTTCCAGGGTCTGAGGTAG